AAAGCTCACTTGATGATCTTGATCATTGCTAAATGTCAGTTAACCTCTCAGCAGGTTGCTCAGGTAAAAGAGCAGAAGAAAGTGTGCTCGTAGACAAAAATGGGAGGGAGGGAGGGAGGGAGGGAGGGAGGGAGGGAGGGAGGGAGGAAGGAAGGAAGGAAGGAAGGAAGGAAGGAAGGAAGGAAGGAAGGAAGGAAGGAAGGAAACATAGAAACATAATACTGTATACACACAGAGGACAGCTGCTCTGCGCAAATGCAGAAAAGGCCAATCTAATATTTAAAATTTATGGAGGTCTTTGGCAGATAGATTATAGGAAGGACACAATCTAGGTAATTCTTCCTTTGTGCGGTCTTAAATTTTGTTAGCTGTTTTGAATATTCTCCAGAGTAGAAGGCTGGTGCATGAATCACATAAATAAATACAATTTCCAGGCTGCTCCCTATTCTTAGCTATTCCTGTTGTATTATCTTGTGCCTCAGCGACCCTTATGAGGCAGGTTTTTCCTCTCATTAGGAGTTATTTCAGTAGTTTTTTGGCTAATGAAACGTAGAGCAATAGCCTCCAAAGTTTGAGGGTGGCATTCTTGCAGACGAGCTTGATACCTGAGCCTGCTAGACATGGAAGACTTGATCATATTGGAATAAGATCAAACATAGGGAATGATCTACAGGGATTTTTTCTGGCAGTCTCTATTCTGCTGTATTTTGGTTTGGTTTTGCTCAAATGCATAAATCATCCTTCATTCACTGGTTTCATTATACCTTCCTTTCTGAGAAATGGGTGGTATCAAATGTCTGAGCCAGGTGGTTGGCATGAAGGGTATAAAAGAGCAGAGGTTTCCAGAATGACAGTAGAACAAAGGAAGGGAGGGAAGAGTTTTCTTATATTGATAGGCTATTCTGGGATTACTTGTAATTGGGACTACTTGACAGCTGTTGGTCAAGCACTGGTAGAAGAATTCTGACCCTTCAGTTGAAGTGGAAGCAATGAAATGTACAATTTTCCTACTATTATTTATGGCAATATTTGTCATGCTGACTGGGCTTAATATTGTAAAGCCATGGATTGTTTTAATCATAGCTTGTTGAATAGGTCATAGTGCCTGAGTTTATGTCTCACAGTAAATCATGCACCTTGGTTTACAAACCACAATGGCAGGTTCCCATATCACTAAAATGAAATTGCATGATGTTCATATAACATGTAAAACTGTAAATCATAGCTAAGACCATACTGGTTTGTTCACACAACATTCCAAGCCAAAGCAGATCACATTATGGTTTACTATGATGGCATGATTCAGACAAGAACATGGTTTCCTTGGTTTTGATTTAACTATTGTAGTTTGTAATCCTTGTTTAGAACAATAAAGGCCATCATTCAGCCAGTGTGCATAAGGAGACCAAAACCTGAGATAACCTGCTATTCCACAGTATTGAGGCTAAGTCAGTCTAGAGCTAATCTAGATGGCATAACTGAAGTTCACTGAAAGCTCACTTATAGCAGCTTGGGAAAGAAAACCGTTCATAGTCTAACTAGGAATAATAGATTAAAAGAAGGACGGGACAGCCAGAAGCATTAGGACCAGATCTGCAAGCCCTAGTAATAAAAATCAAGGAGCACAGTAAAAAAAAATGGGACTAAAAATAAATATAGACTAGCAATAACAGATAGAACAACCAGCCTTAGAATTGACAATAAAAATATTGGTGGATAGCTTCTGCCGTTTCGCATCAACCATCAACAGTAAAGGAACAACCAGTCAAGAAATATGCCACAGACTACCACTTGGTAGAGCAGCCATGAAGGCCTTGGAAAATATATTCAAAGGCCATGATGTGTCTATACCTACAAAGGTCAGAATCATGTAAGCTATGGTGTTCCCTGTGACACTGTATGGAAGTGAAAATTGGACTTTGAAGAAGCAAGACAGGAAGAGTATTGACACTTTTGAATTTTGGTGTTGGAGAAGACTTCTGGGAGAATACTGTGGATAGCCAAGAAAACAAACAAATGGATCATCAAACAATTCAAGGTGCAAATGACTGGACTCAAATTATCCTACTTCGAACACATTATGGGGAGACCTAGCTCTCTGGGGAAGGCTCTAATGCTGAGAAAGGTGGAAGGAAAGATAAGAAGAGGACAACCAGCAGCAAGGTGGATGCACTCAGTTACAGTGGTGATGGGGGCAGCTGGAAGAGCTGAAGGACCAGGTTTGGTTTTGATCACCAAAAAGTATTTCAGAGGTTCTGGGAAAAGATGCAGCTGTTCTAAGGTGTTGCAGAGAGTTCTACATTTCTGTTCCTGGGTATATCAAAGCGCTTTTTAGAGATTAAATATAAGTGCTATAGAGACCTAATACAAAAGTTTTAAAACCCTATATCTCTTACTGACTGGCTTCACACAGTGCACTGAGTTATAATTTGTCTGAATCATGTTTCGTTGAATAAGACACAGTGGCTGCATAAACATGTAATGTTAAATCATAAGCTACAAGCCATGTGTCTAGGTTTGCTCAACTATTTAAGCCACAGTCAAATAAATGACATTATTGCTAAATAATGTGAGCATTAGTAATATTTTAAGGTAAAGGCAAGGGATGACCTGTGCAAACTAGTTGCAGCTTACATTTGAAATAATCAATATACCATAATTCTGTCTATTCCTAGATAAATGTTATTTGGTGCCATTTAACTCGTCAGCTCAGAGTTAGCGAAGAGTAGTGCTGTCCTTCTTAATATCTTTCATTCTTCTAAAATAGGTTCTACCTCCACTTTTTCTGAAATGGATGAAAATGATGGAAGAAGAAACTATTGCTCCCATAGAAAATTCCGTAAGTTGGGGCAGCTCTCCAAAGAGAGTACTCCAGATTTTAAAAAAAAGTATCTTTAATAAAGACAGCAAAAGTTCCTGCTACAAGGTACTTGAAGAACCTGTCGCTTCCTATATATCATTTGGAAAGTAGTGGCACCCAAAGCATTTTGAATTGTGAACTGTTTTGAATTCAAAGCGCTCCATTTTGAGCCTAGAGCCATTGTATTGAATGCAAAATAACAGTTTCTTTCATTATGAAACTGTTTGAACTCAAAATGGGCCATTTTGTTTTGCATTTGAGGTGTTTTGCATACTCATAAATTTAAATAACATCCTAATTCTTCTAATGTTATATAATTCATGGGTGCGTTTATTCTGTGTATCCTCACATGTGTAATTGTTTACATGACCGGGCATATGATTCATGAAGAAACTGAGTTGTCTTCAGGCTTCAAGCAGTCTATGGCAGAAACTGAGGCATTGTTTCTAAGTCAAAGGCTTTATCTTTGTATCTTCATAGACAACAAAATATTTACTGATTCAGTTGAACTCTGAGACAGCAGTGGTTTTTACAAGAACAGGGTTGGGGAACCAGGATCAAGCAAATAATTGTAACATGTAATCTGTTTTACCACCTCCCATGTGCATATTGTGACTTGGCACTAATTGTCCTCCACACTGTGTATCCTGCCTCCAATAAGACAATTTCAGAAAGTAGCAGCTGAATAGTACAGCTGAAATGCTTAGATTTCCGTCACAGTGAAAAATGCTGTTTAAACTTAATAATAACAGAGGTGCAGGAAAGGTGGAATACTTGACTACTTGGCTCCATTTTTACAATTCTGAGAAAACAGTGGCTTAGGTTGGAGGGAATTCCTCCACCCCAAAATAAGAATTTCTGGATTTTTTAATGGTTTGGTTCCATCCCCTACCCCCTTCCATTATTATTTATATTCTTCTCAGCAGAACAACAACAATCATCTGTAGCCAGAAAATTTTGACAGGCAGCACTCTAAAGACTATACTGTCTTCTTGAAAGTTTAGATATAAGTCTGTAGGCCATTAAATAAATTAACATAGAAAGTGTGAGGCAGTTGTTTAAACAGATAAAATTGACGTATATATTTGTTGTTGTGGTCTAAGAGGCTTTATTCTAGTGCACTTTTTCTGAAACCCAAAATAGTATATCATACTCAGGTAACAAAACTGCTGTGTCCCTATATTTTTTCTTCATTGGGCTTATTTAGACATTCATCCTTAAAACTTGTGAAGTAGAAAGTGGTGTGAAAATGTCACAGTGTCAGATCTCTGACCAAGATGTGAATGTTGGTCATCCAATTCATTGTGTTTACTTAAGAATAGACAGTGAACTTTGTCAGCTTTAATGGGAGTAGTATTTTAATGTTTGAGCTGTGTGAAGAGATCTCTTAACTAAAGAAGTCCATGATAGTTTCTATGTTCTCTTATTGATAGCCCCTTTAATGATACTATTAGAATAGCATGTTCATGTTGTCTTGAAAATCATTGAAAGTCAAACATCCAGGATAAAATCATTTAAAAAACACTATATACAGATATGCAGGGTAACAATGCATTTTAATACTCATGCATAATACTCATGCATCAGCAAATACTGTCATGATTAGCATAGGTTGTAAATAATGATCATTTGTAATGTAATAATAGCCATTTGGATCCATGATTGCCTTTCCTCAGTGGAAAGCTTCTAAGCCAATGACACACTTCCAGTTAGGGAGCCCAAGAAAAGATTATCAATTCCTCCCTCCATCCCCTTTCCCATGTCAAATTCTAAGAGTTTAAATGCTTTTGGAAAGGTAAGGAAAAGTGATGCTGGTGGCTAGAAGAAAGGATGGGGCAGAATGAGGTAAATAAAAATTGCTAGTAAAGAAAACTATGCAAATAAGAGGACTGTTGAAATTATTCATTCCACCCAAATCAGATGTCAATAATAGTTTTGACTGTATAAAATAACTTATTTCTCAATGTATAAATAATCATTTCTCAATATTTTCTTCTACTGAAAATTTCCTCATTTTAAACATAGTAGTTCTGAAGTCATTGTGCTTCAAACACAGTCTTAAATATTTCAAATTTTTCTTGTAATAGTGTCTTAACAAATGTATTTGTTCCTTCTGGGAAATACATACGTAAGTGCACACCATGTTTAACTACTTGTTAACATAGAATGCTTAACTAAATATAAAGAATATACTTAAATTCTGACTACTTTCAGAGCTGTGAAGGAAACTGAATTGTGGCTTATGCATCTGTAGTAGAAATAGTGTTCTGTGGCATGTTAAAGTTTGATAGATTTACTATTGAGTATGTTTTTATGGATCGTAAAGTTATTGTGCAAACTTCTTAATTTTTAAGGTGAAAGATACATGGGTGCTTTTGCTGTAATAGACAAACACTGCTACTGTGATGGAATGGACTTAGGAAGGCCATGCTCAGGGAGATAAGTGTGTTCTTAGTCCCCAACAGGAGCGTGGGAAGTTCAAGAAGATGAGGCTGGCACCTCCCTA